TTTTCTGGGTCACTTCTCCGCTCATTAGCGCAGCCACAGAAATATGCTACAGGTAAGCTTTCAGGAACAGAGATGGATTTCCCCCAAAAAGGGGCAGCTTTAACATTCCACAGCGAGAGCAGGGCTTGTGGGAAGGGAGACCTGGAAGTTCAGCATATACATTGAGGAAAGAAAATAAATATTTGTGTTTTAAAAATGTGAAACATTTGATTCCCCAGGAATCAAAACTGGGAACAGAGTGTCCGGTATTGGCCAGAGGAAAAAAAAATGCGTTGAGGGGCTTTGCTCCAGGCTGCTCACCAGTCAGGATGCCCACTGTTCCCTCTTCTTGTTTTCTCACACCTCAGGCTGCCAGAAACTTAAAGCCTTTAGTGTTTTATCCAAGAGAAAGAGCATTTGTGATAAAGTGAGAGGCCCCTGGGCAGAGTGTGGCTCAGTGGAAAGCGCACAGGCCACCGCCCCACCCCCACCTCCAGCCCCAAGGCTTAATTTCTTTCTGAAAGAATTAGCCTGGTTACCTCAGGCTCCCATGACGAGAGATGCAACCTGGCCTAGGGCTGCATGTCCCCCTTGTCCTCACCATCATCACAATGTGGCTGGATCTTCATCTACCTTTACTGCTATTTATTTCATCTTTCTCTTTAACTCCAAAGCCACTTGTTGAAAAATTGTCTCCTCCTCCTAAGAAGTAACAGCCATGAAATCACGGTCTGATCGAGTTTATGTAATATTTATTCTGATATGCCTTTAAATAAATTAGAAACAAATTAAATTTAACCTTTTCATCCACTTAGCACCAAAAATGATCTTGCGTTCTGCCAGGGGCGTGCAGGCCAGACTTTGAGGAACCCTGTGAACTGAAACAACTTTGAGATCAGACAGAGCCAGGTTTGTTTCTGTCACCTGCCAGCTGCATTGACTCCAGGTGACTCCTTTCACTTTTCTGCTCTTGGGTTTCATGTCTTTAAGTTGGGATCGTGATGGCATTGTCACAGGTGGTTGAGAAGAAAATATATTGAACGCTGCGTCAGTGTTGCTTTCAGTGTGCCTTCTGTCTTAGTCAGGATAGAACAGGCTAAGCTGCAGTAACAAACAGTCCCTCCAGTCACAATGTCTCTAACACAAGGGTGTGTTTCTGTCTCATGGCACAGGCTGGGGCTAGACAGGCAGCTCCCTGCACAGACCCTCAGGCTGCCTCTGTCCTGCTGTCCCACTATGTCCAAGTCCTTCATCTCCAGCCACATGGATGAGAGAGAGACAGCAACTTAACTGCCTCAGACAAGGCATGCACATCACCTGACTCTCTAGAAGTCCAGGGGTGGGAAATGGGTATTTAGTGAGCAGTGACCCTTCCCAAGTGAAAAAAGCTTCTGTTGGCTCTATATTACCTCTCAGTGAAAATTCAAACTTAGCTGGGCATTTAAGGCACTGCACGAGCTTTTCCCAAACCAGTGCTGGCCTTTCTCCCTCCCCTCCTTCATCACCCTCTCTTCTCTGAAACACAATGAGTCACACTCTTGTGAGTTTTAGCACATTTTGCCTTAATTGCAGCAGATTTTTTTCAGATTTTCTTACTGGTTTGAGAGCCTTGAAGGCAGAGACTGCCTTTTGCACCAGGCATTTTCAGAATTCGAGCTCAGTAAACGGTGACTCATTTTGTTTGGGGCATGTCGCACATAAAACCTTAAATCTCAGGCTTTAAAGGAAACTCAGACATCATCTGTACAGTTTATCCAGCCTGCCACACATCATACTCATTCTGGAGAGGTTGTGAGTCATCAGAAGTGAAGTTTCCAGATTGGAGTCACCCTCTGACATGTCCATCTCCAGACCTTCGCCCAAGCTGTGTCCCTGCCTAGATTGTGCCCCCAGCAGGTGGAGTAGAAGAAGTTGTAAGGCCAGTGTCCTGCTTGACCACCTGGGCCCCGGAGGTGGCAGCAAAACTGTTTACCACATGGACTCTGTTGACTGAGGGCTGTAGCTCCCTTGTGCTGGCCACTCTCTGCCAAGCCCACCGCCTACCGGACACTCTTGGTGGCCAATTAGACAGGCTTCCTCCTGGAATCCCAGGAGAGTGTGAGCACTGGCTCCCAGAGAGCCCATCAGGGCAGGTAGTGGGCTAGCCTGTGGCAGCGAGACCCACAGTCATTGCTTCTTAGATGCCAACCAGAGACCCCAGGTGGGCCCAAGGGTGGGTCCTCCCCAACTTCCTTTAACCTGGGAACTGCTTTTCTTGACACTTAAAACTATTTCATTGCAAACTGGAGACATTCTCAGGGTGCCTGATTGGATATGAATTTCTGGTCTCCCCACCTGTCAGCAGAGACCCCGCAAAGTGGAGAACTTGTCCATCAGCACAGGGCAAGTTTTCCTCATCTGCACAGTGGATACACACCCCACTGCCAGGCTGTTGCTGTGTCCCTGGGCCTCCCATCCTATCCAGGCCCCTTCGGGTCACAGCCCCTGTGCTGTAGGTCCTGCTTCCCAAATTCCTCTTGAGCCTACCCAGCCCCATAGCCATGGCCTGGTCCATGTTCCCAGCATCCCTCTGCTGGGCCGCCTCCCCATCAGCCTTCTGCCTGGGCCCCGCGTCCACCATGGGCCCCACCTTCCATCACACATCACAGCTCTGAACCAGGCCTGTTCCCAGTGCCAGGCATATGACATGACCATGCCTCAGCCCATCTTCAAGAGGCGTCCCAAGGCTATTACTCTGCTCACCTTTGACATGGGGGCAGGAGGGACCAGAGGGACAAGCTCAGGCTCTAGTCAGGCCTATTGGAGTCAAATCTCATCTCTGCCCCTCAACCAATTGTAACTTTGGGCAATGGCTTGCCCACCCTGAACCCTAGGAATAGCCATTGCATAGCACCTGCTGTGTGGGGCCAGCGGGAGAGTCATGAAGATGACACACTGCAGAGCCCTCTCAATTATGGGGACCCTTCCTGCCACCGTCTCACCCTGAGGACAAAGGTGCCCCTGCTTGGCAACCCGCATTTGATTTTGCAGGCTCTCCTCCCCAAGAGACAGCCCTCCCGGGTGGCCCTCACCTGCCCAGCCTGCGCACAGTCCCCTCTGTCCTGGGGCCAGCTCCTTTTAGGCTTCTAGCTCAAACAGGCCCTCTCAGTGGGTCCAAACCTGGCCTTGTCAAAGGACCCCTGTGTGAGCCTCAAACAGGGCATTGATAGGGCCGTGGTGAGAGCTGCCCAGCGGGTTGTGGGCTGGCTTGGTTTGGCCGGTCCACGCGACTTCCCCAAACCCAGCTATTTCCTGTCCCTTGGGCCGGCCCCCTCCCAGCCGCCTGGCCACAGGGTACAATCCAGCTATACATCGCAGCCTATTTCCTGGCTCCAGGCCAGGGCTGGGGGGGGCATCGCCTCAGCTATTCCTCATGGCCCACAGCCGTGGCCCCTTGGTGTCCTCTTGACGAGGATGCCAGGCTGGAGACAAGGCCAATCCCCTCTCTGGTAACCCCTGCCCTTAGTCCCCATTTGATGGGGGCTCCTGGGGGCCTCTTCATATGGACCTGCGTAAGGAGCAAGAGCTCACACAGACTGGGACCCCAGCCCCTCTTAACGGCCTCCATTTGGAGTAGGGGGAGAAAGGCACTTGGTATAATCCCTGACCGCTGTGTGGCCTCAGGAAAGTCACTTGATGTCTCTGGGTCTCAGTGCCCTCATGTGTGGATGGCAGCTCATTGTCCATCCCTATCACAGCCTCACTTTATCAGTTGCTTGGGGATCCAATAAAGAGCAGATGAAATCCATGAAGAAACCTGCTAACCCCAAGAAAAGCTGACAGCACCTCTCAAATCCATCCCCTTCTCTTCCCCACCCCACAGGATGACTTCATTAGCCTTCTATGGGCCCCTGCATTTGGTCTCTTCCTTCCTAAAACCCAAACCCAAACCTGACCCTGTAACTCCTCTGCCCAAAACCCGTCAAAGACTCCCCCATCCCAGGAGAAGTCAAAACTCCTGGGCATGGCATTCAAGGCTCTGTTAGGTCTCTGGGTACCAGTGAGGGAGTCCAACTCCAACTGCCTCAGGCTGCCTGCTGACTTCACTCAGGCAGGCCTGCAGCTGCTCAGCCAGGGAGGAAGAAGGCGAGAGGTGGAGAAAGAGGAAAAGATTATTGAAGAATCTGATTCCTAGGTCCAACCATACCTGAAGCCAGAAGTCCCTGGACTTTTCATTTATGTGAACCAAGAAGCATCATGACCACCTTTTTTGTTTTTTTTAATAAACTTGGTTCACTAACATCTCTGTTACTTGCAACCATCTCCTTCCTGTAAATGTCCTTCTTGACTGAAGTTGACCAAGGTGGGCTTGAACCAAAGAACCCCAAGGTGTGAAAGGCTCCTCCTGATCCAGGCCCCAAGACCTTCCAAGCCACCTCTCCTAGCCTTTGCCACTGGCAGCCAAACTGAGCTACACAGCCCAGCTCCCTCCCCCCACATCCACAAAGGCCTTCCATATATCCTGCTACTTTTGCCTAGAACATCCCTCCCCACTTTGCTTACTGCCGCTCACTCATCCTTCAGACTCAACTTGGTGAAACTTCCACCAGGAAGCCTTCCTTGGCTGCCTGAGGTTCCTCACACTTCCCCTGGCATGGTGTTGGCTGTTCCTCAAACTATTATAATTAGTTATGGACCTGTCATCATCTACCCTGGGCTGTGGGTAACTGGAGGCAGGTCTGACCCATTGCAATCACCCCCAGTGCCCAGTGCATCACCTGGACCCAGGCGGGTGCTCTCCAGGTGAGTGGAGCTCACACCTTACCCAGGAGACATCATGGTGCTTAGTGGTCTGTGATTTGTAATCAGAAACAGTGCCAAGTCATGACACTCTCCAGCCAGACATGACCCCCTGTAGTCTCTGGACTGAACAAACAGGTGTGTGGTGTGTGTGTGTGTGTGTGTGTGTGTGTGTGTGTGTGTGTGTGTGTTGGGGGTGATGGAGCCCCACCTACTCCATATTTGAGGAACCACATCAGCCCGAGAGAAGCATGTCACTGCTTTATTAAAACGTCTTCCCCGTCACACACAAAGCAATCCATGAGCGGGTGTTGGCGGGGAGCCTCCTGCACAGCCCTCTCCCTTTGTACCTCCCTAACAGACACCAGAGAGCCTGCCCCTGTCGCCCCATCTCCACCTTCGAGTCAGCTCCCTCAGGAGCCCCAGTCCTCCGGGAAGCGAGCAAAAGAGGGAGTGTTGGGGCCAAAACTTCCCTGCAGTTCCAGCAACAGCAGCCCCCGTGGCCAGGTCTGCACCCACGAAGGGTTTGCCTGTTTTGAATGAGCTAACCTGTGGATTTAGTCCAACAAATGGATTCGCCTGATTTCAGGGCTGAATTTCTGCTTGACCACAAGCGTCGGGCAGAACCAGGTCACCTACAACCAAACTGGTGATGGATGGACTGGGCTGTGGAATGGACTGACGGCTCGTTACTAGAGGTGACCGTGGTTGAGGCGACCCATTTCACAGAGCCCACTGCTATGTGACTGCTTTGACCATGTGACTGCTCTGGCCACGAGTCACTGATCATTGATGATAACAACTCTTAAACAAAACAATGTGTGCTCCAAGGGACTGTATGATTATTGAAACTACAGCTATTTCCTGGCACTAGCTGTTGAATGACGGTTTGGCAACTGTCTGAATTTTCACTTGAATTAACAATTCCTCAGCCACTCAGAAGTACTGAATGGACCAGAGTGGGCAGCCATGGATTGGACTGGATGATTGGATTGGATTGGATTGGATTGGATTGGATTGGATTGGATTGGATTGGATTGGATTGGATTGGATTGTTTGGGAGGCAATCTGATTTTTTTATTATTGAATTTAATCCCTATTCTAAATGGACTGGGTTGGCTGACTCAATAACTATTTAGCAAGCTATTTGAAGAAGTGAACATATAGACTAATTGATGGTCATGTCACTAATTGCTGTGTGAACTGACAACTATTTACAAACCAGTGCAACGGACTGCTGTAGTTTGACTAAGTTATTTTACTGAACTGACAAGTGAGTGCACGTGTTTTTAATTTGTCAGCCGCTTGGTTAAACTGGTCAAGCTGAACGTTATTTAACCAAACTCAATGAATTTAGAATGACCAATTGTTTAAACAAATGTCAGAGCTGATCAAAATAAGCCAGGTGTTGTTGGACCGAATCTTTGAGAGACCCAAGGAATCATTTAGCCTAAAGGGTTGACCCAGTTGCAAGCATCTCCCAGGCCCCGTAGGAAAAGCAGGCCAGCAAGTGGTACACAAGCAGGTTGTCCTGAAGTCAGCCGGGTGGTTCTCCCAGGCCATAGGGGCCACCAAAGCGAAAAAGGGGATTGCGAGGCAGCTCCGCCCCTCCCAGCACCAGGGCTGGGGCCTGGCACTGTCACACCTCGGAGTATGGGGGAGGCGCTGGGCCCATCTCGGGAGTCTTGGATGGCAGAGACACAGCTTCCTCGTAGGACGGCAGAACCACCTGGTAGAGACAAAGATGAGGACTGATGACTAGCCAGAAGGAACCTCTGACAAAAGGATGACATGAGTAGCACGCCTTGTGCACTTGCTATGTGCTGGGCATTGTGTGCACCAGACAGGTGCAATTTCTCTTCCTTTAGTGAACAGACTTCCCTCTGCCTGTTCAGCATCAAGCCCCCTTATGTTGATGGCAACACACCATTTCCCCTGGGAAAGCATTCTCAGTCCATGTGCTTTCAGAAAAATTGGTCCCATCCTTCAGATCGAGGGGGTGGACATATGACCTAGGCTGGGCCACTCATAGTAGGATTTCATCCGCCCGGCTAACTATAATCTTGGTTTGGGGGTAGGCCTGTGACCCAAGCTGGTGCAATCAGACGTGCTCCTGGGACTTCCTTTCTGCGGGGGTTGCTGAGAGGATGGGATGTCAGCCTAGGGATTTGGGCAGCAATTTTGCCACCAGGGAGAAAGGGCTGCCTGAAAATGGAGCCAACACTAAGGAAAGTGGAGTCAAGGGATGGAGAGGGTGAGATCCCAATCTGGATGTCAGGACTCGGCAAGGCCTGAGCCAGACATATATTGGACTTTCAAGTTCTGTGAACTAATAAATTTTCTTTTTTAACTTAAGTCAGCTTAAGTTGGATTTCTGCCACTTGTAACCAAAAAAGTCTTGACTAATACAATCCCCATTTTATAGATGAGGAAAGTGAGCCACAAGTAATTGAAACCAGCTGCCCTTTTCCCATCACTTCTTCAATCAGCTGTTTCTAAGTGCACCTCATCCCTCTGCCTGGAAGGCCCCTGCCCTTTCCCCAGCTAACCTGTACTATTGACAATCTAAGACTTGGTCAAATGTTACCTCCTCCAGGAAGCCTTCCCTGACACCCCAGATGAGACCAACTGCCTCCTCTGCTCCCATTGCCCCTGTGCAGCACACTGAGTTGTAGGATTCGCTCTGGACTATACCCTCCTCTAGAACAGGGTGGCATCTTAGTTTTCTCTGTACCCACAGGGTTGGCTATGAGTCCAACAAAGAGTAAGAGGCAGAAAATGTTGAATGTGTGCTTGCGAGAAAGAACCCTAGACTATCAGAGATCTTCACATTTCTTCCGGTCCAACCCTCATCTTACAAGTGGAGAAACTAAGGCACAGCAAGGGAGAGAGACTTGCCCCAAGTGACATAGCAAGTGGCGGACCTAACACTTGCCCCCCTCCCTGCCCCAGGCTCACCTTCTGCAGCATCTTGGAGCTGCTCTTCTCTTCGGCTGAGTTCATGTACTTGATGAGTCTGTAACATCGCCACACGCACTTGAACATGTAGACCTGGAAAAGGCTTGAGTCAGGCTGCGCATTGCTGGCCCTCTTCCTCACTGCCCCAGAAGGCCTGAGAAATGCAGGGCGCTTTCTGGAGGTCCCAGCTCACCCTAGAAGGCAGCATCCAGCTGCTGCAGCTCAGACCCCTATTCTGGTTGAGGGTTGCCTCACCTGCCAGTCGCAGGTGCTACAGATAATTCCCTTTTTACTGCCCCAGAGACTGAGCACAGGAAGGGGCTTTTAGAGGTTTCTGAGCCACCCTCAAGCCCCCGTCAATAGTCCTGCAGATCCTGCTTGTCTACCCCTGGTGACTGGGGGCTCACTACCTCCCAAGATACCCTTACTCATCTTGAGCCAGAGCTCACAGTGGGAAAGGTTTGCTTGAAAATTGGTTATATATTGCCTTTAAAGCAGGTTACAAAACAGTGTATGCAGTAGTATCCCATGTTTATAAATGCAAAAAATATATATGTACAGATGTTGTAAGGAACTGCTTTCTCTTAGCAGTTGAAATAAGAGCTGGGGCGATGATTCCCAGGGTGGCAGTGAGGTCCCAGGGGCATTCTCAAGTAGCAATAGCCAAGTCTCTGCCCAGACTGCCCCCTAAGGGAGAAGAGCTGGTCCTGTCATCTGGAAGGTCTCTTGTTCTATGGAGTCTCATGATGGGGAATTAGAGGAGGCAAAGATAAATAAAATGAATTATAGAAGAATGAAGTAGGAAGGGCCAGGGGGAAATCAAGTAGGTGGAGGGTGGCCAATGAGGCAGAGTGAGGGCCCAGAGATAACCTCCATCCATGGAGGAGGGGTGGAGATGGGGT